ACCTCCGTTTGGCCATCAGATTGCGGGTGATACGCAGATGAAAAGGACAGCGTTGTGCGACAGAGCAGAAAAAGTTCTTTCCAAAACAAGCTTGTGAATGATGGGTCACGGTCACTGACTATACTCTCTGGAATTCCATGCAATTTAACAATATTGGCGTAGAAGATGGATGCTACAGAAGATGCTGTATATGGGTGAGCCAACGGGAAGAAGTGAGCGTATTTAGACAAACGATCAACAACCACTAGGATCACTGACTTCCCCTGGACCTTCGGCAGACCAACGATGAAATCCATGGAAACCTCTGACCAAATCTGCTCCGGAATAGGGAGCGGCTGTAGCAACCCAGAGGGGTGTGTGTTCTCCCACTTGTGCTGCTGACAGATGGTGCACTGGGCAATGAATTCCCTCACAGAATCAGCAAGCTTAGGCCAATAAAATTCCCTTCGGATGCGATGGATCGTCTTCTGAACACCCTCATGAGTGGAGCCATGAATTTCGGATAGCACAACTGGAATAAACTTAGAAGATGGAATCAAAACCAGTTTAGTACCTTTAAACAGAAGACCATCACGAACAGTCCAAACATTGGTAGAGTCAGCTGCTGCGCGGGCTACCCAAGCACGCCCTTCGGTAGTTTGTGCGAGCTCATCCCGAATGTCCTGTAAAAGGGAGGTACGTGGGCACGAGATGGCAAACAGAGTGCTAGGCTCTTCGTCCCGCCGCGAGAGGGCATCTGCCACGACATTAAGCCTCCCCGGCTTATATTCCACCTTGAAATCAAATCCCAGAAGTTTGCTCATCCAATGCTGTTGCGGGGAGGTAGTGAGTCGTTGTTGCAGCAGGTATTTCAAGCTATAATGGTCCGTTTTGATGACGAACTCCCTCCCCCACAGATAGTGGCGCCAATGGCGGACAGCCTGAGACAAGCCAATGAGTTCCCTCTCATAGGCTGGTAATTTCAGGTGCCGATCAGCCAACTTGCGGCTGAAATAAGCGATAGGGTGCCCGTCTTGGTGCAGAACAGCGCCTATGCCCACCCCGGAGGCATCACATTCTACTACAAAAATTATTGCAAAGTTAGGGAGGCAAAGAACCGGAGCTGAAGACAAAGCCTTTTTAAGAGTAGCGAATGCAGCGTCTGCATCATTGTCCCAGTTGAAGGAATGCTTGCGTAGGAGGTTGGTCAGGGGCGCAGCAATAACCCCATAATCTTTTACAAATCGTCGGTAAAATCCAGCCAAGCCCAAGAAAGCCCGCAAGGCAGTGAGTGTGGACGGAGTAGGCCAATCTAGAACAGCCTGAATTTTTCTAGGATCTGCAGCAACGCCACTGTCAGTGATCACATGTCCAAGGTAACTAACTTGGTGATCTCCAAAAACGCATTTAGAACGTTTGAGGTATAACGTGTTGTCTTGTAACAACTGCAGTACTAGGCGGAGGTGTTGAATGTGCTCAACCCACGTCGCGCTATAGATTAAGATGTCATCAAAAAATACGAGCACAAATTTACGCAAATAAGGCCCGAATACCTCATTCATAAGTGCTTGGAAAGTGGATGGCGCGTTAGAGAGGCCGAATGGCATTACGAGAAACTCGAAGTGGCCATGATGTGTTTGAAAAGCTGTCTTAGCAATGTCCTCCGGGTGCATACGAACCTGATGGTAGCCGGAACGCAAATCCAATTTGGAGAACACTTTTGAACCGTGGAGCTCATCCAACAATTCATCAATGGTGGGTATTGGGAACTTGTCCTTGATGGTGTTCGCGTTAAGCGCCCGATAATCCACACAGAAGCGCCAAGAGAGGTCCTGTTTCCGGACTAAGAGGACCGGGGACGAAAACGGAGATCTGCTTGGTCGAATGATCCCCGAATGGAGCATGTCACTGCACTGTCGCTCAATTTCATCTTTTTGAAGGTGAGGATATCTATATGGTCGGACAACCACGGGATTAGTTCCCTGCGCCACTACAATCCTGTGGTCACAACTGCGAGAGGGCGGAAGGCACTGAGGGGTGCCGAAAACTGATGCAAAGTGGTCAAGTAGTGAATCCATTGCTGCAGTTTCAGTGAGGGGCTGGTGAAGGAGGTGCAAAGATGGGTGACCAGAACCTGAAATCCCAGAAAGCACCACATCGGTCCCCTGCCACGCAAAGTGCATTTGCATTGTTTCAAAATTCCACCAAATAGGGCCCAACGTGCGCAACCATTTGACCCCCAATACCAACTCCACTCCTGCTAAAGGGATGACAAAAAAGTTTTCAATGAAGGAGATGGAATCATACTGTAAAAACATGTTCTGGCAGATTCCGGAGCTAGGCATGCGTTCGCCATTAGCTACAGCAACATGCAAACCAGTGCGAGGGGTGATAGGCAAATGAAGCCGGTGGGCAGTGGCGATATTGATGAAATTATCAGTGCTCCCAGAATCAACCAAGGCAATGATCGGTGAACCCGCAACCATCAAACGAATCTGCATTGTTTGGGAATGGTTTATGCCGGTGATAGCGTGGAGAGAGATTTCTGGTTCCAAGTCCTCCAGACAATTATCCACGTCATCTTCCTCATCCTCAATAATTCCCAGCATATATAAGTGGCGCTTGCAACGATGGCCCTTAATCCATTTTTCATCACAGTTGTAGCAAAGGCCCAGTTTTTGCCGTTCCAGCATCTCAGCCGGGGAAAGCTTCTTCGGTCGCAGCGGTCGAGACTGTGTGGTATTCTGCCCCAGTGGCTGTTGGTGTACCGTAATGGCGCTGCTCGGTGGAGTTTGTGGTGGGAAAGGCCTCCGGGAGGTAGTAGGACAAAGCAGGGTGCCTTTACGAGCATAATCTCGTGCAATATTAATGGCTTCATCAAGCGAATCAGGTCTCAGTCGTTCAACATCAATGCGTAGGATCTCATCCAAGCCGGCAGTGAATAAGTTTACCTGCTGGGAGTACAAGACATTGTCAGCCCGTGCGAGCAAGAGCTGAAAATCATCAATGAAGTCATCGACAGCCCGACCCTGTTGTTTGAGGTTTGCCAGCTCTCCTAACGGGTTGATGCTCCGGGGCGGTCCGAAGCGGAGGGTGCATGCAGCTTTGAATTGGATCCAAGAAAATAGTTGACCATCTTGTAAGCGACGTTTGTACCATAGTTGGGCACTATCAAACATATAATATGCTGCAGTGGTAACCTTCTCATGATCAGAATGTGGCGATTTTTCAAAGAACAACTCACAGCGATAGAGCCAAATAAGAGGGTCGCTTTTGCCATCAAAAGTGGGAAACTCAAGTTTGGTGAATCTAGTCGGATGGGTGGAATCAGCTAGCTGTGGTGGTGCAGTTTCTGGAACTTGGGTGCCCAGAAAAGAAGTGACAGTAGCGGCAGCGGTGTTCGGTGATGTGAAGAAAGAGTGTACCATCTGGGTGAGGTTGGCTACGTTTTCAGTTAGAGCGTCCACAGTTGCAGGAAGGTGTTCCAACTTTTCAACGGAAGCCTGGATAGCTCGGACCTCGTCCTGGAGTTTCTTCATATCGCCCATTTTGACGCCCGGCAACGGAACCAGAATGTTATGTTCTCGGCAAAAAGCTCTCGTCAATGGGCGAGAAGCTGGGGTTTGTGAAGAGGCAGACTTGGCTATGGTGTAAGGAAGGAAGAATGAAAGTTGCAAAGTAGGGGAGTTGGGAATATAATGTAAAGATAGAAGGAGTTTCTGGAGTCTCCGGCTCCTTAATTTCTTAAACTTCAATGCTTGATTTATTCACTCTCTAAGAGTCTGGTACTTATAGCAAACTAAGCACAGCTAGTACATAATTCAAAAGGAAGGCAGAATATTGTCTTCCTAAAATAAACTCACATAATTCAAAAGGAAGGCAGAATATTGTCTTCCTAAAATAAACTCACTTAACAAAGGAAATAAAAAGATCATCTTGATTTGTTCCCTTAGTTTGCTGCCTACATATCTTCCATGCGATTTCGAATCCGGCGCTGATATGCCTTTCCAAAGAACGCATCATCAGCACTATTTCTACTTCAAAGGGCACAAGTATCTTTTCACTGCATTATTTACCAATTACCACTATAATGGTACAAGTTAGAGCTTTTTAATAAACCTTCTGTTCTCTTCTTGCCACCAATCCCCCAAGTTCTCTTTCTATTTCTCTACCAACAGTTCCTCAAACCCTACTGGCCTACTTCGCAAGAAAATAAAATCAAGTTCTATTCTTCACCCTCAAAAGGACGCAACCCCATCTGTTTTTTTAGTACTAATATATTTTTTTTTTCTGTTTCCCAATTAGCCCCTTATGTTGTTTGCTATTGATATGGCCAGAAGTCAATTTGGAATTTGTCCTATCAGAAAGGAGAAGATAGAAGAACAGAAAACAAAAAGTGGCAAGAAACAAGAAAACCAAGCACCATGAGTTGACAAAACACTCCCAGAGATGCGAGACAAATGATAGCCCAATTAGCAATTATTTTTCAGCACCATATCACAAAGCCACTAATTTGTCAACCTAATCATTCATGAACCTAACCTCTGCTCACTTTATGAGTAGGATCAACCGATCAACTGCAAAAAGGCACATCTAGATGCCTTGAGACAAGGTTGAAAATGTTATTAAAGAAGAAGTTATGAGATGGCCATTTAAAGGAAAATAAGTTCTCTCATCCATGCTGAATCTTACAATTTGAATAAAAACCTTGAGGGGAACAACTGCATGTTATTTTGATTAAAAATGATACATTGAAATCCTAAATAGCCCAGCTTAATGAAGTAGTTCATTGAAACAAGAATTCCTGTTGGGGTACGTCAAAAGGGGCTGAAAAGAAGGATTCAAACTCAAGCCTATTGTCTGGAAAGGGATTTGTTTTGGGAGCGTTCAGTATGGAAAATGTTTCCAATTTTCCATTCTCAAAATGGAGAACATTTATCCCAAAAATAAATAAATAAAAAATCTTCCTGGAGTGGAAAACAAGAGTGAACTGTACTTGCAGGTACTGTTCACCTGTATTTTCCAATTGGCAAACTCTCCTCCATTTTTACAACTTGAACACAAACTCCATTTTTACATTTTTGCTTTCCATTTTTCTTATATTTTCCATTTACTGAATAGCCCCCACTATGACAAATTCCAAACCCATGAATTAAGTCAATCAACAAAGCAGTGTGTAAAATGTTGAAAGGATAAGAACAGATAAGGCTCCAAGTACAAGAGGATCCCAATAATCTTAATACAGTGGACTTCTAAAAGACTACCCTGTGTTAGGTGTCAACAATAACAACAGTTGTAAGTTTTGAGTATTTATCACAACAATTGAAACCCCACACTTAAGATCAGGAATTTCTGGAAGAAGACATAATTTTGGAATCATCATCAACACACTAACAGCAGAAGACTGTTGTTTCTCAATCTTCTGATACTTTGTACAGCTTACCTCGTAGAACACATCCATACCAGATAGAGGAATGCCTTCCAACTTGAACATCCCCAATGATAGAAGCACTTGGTGCAACAAATGCTTCTCTATGAACTGAAGGAACTTTATCAAACAAGTTCATAAGGACTCTGTGCCTAGACACTGAAATGGATAAAAAAGTAAAAGATGTTAAGTCAGAAATTCAACCTTACATACATTTATGCTGGTTAAGTGGTAAGGAGAAAAAATCTGAAGTTGAAGAACACATAAATTCATCAAACAGAGAACACTGCAGGGAGATACACTTAAGTGGTAAGCTTCCAGTACAATGCTCGAGAGAAAATCCATAATGAAAATATGAAATGAAGATGTATTGATCAGGAACTTTAACCAGCTTAAAGCGAGCACATTGTTATTAATTTCAATTATTCTTCAGCAATAACAAGGCATCTGCAAAAAGCTTATGAATTAAAACTTTTCACTTTCTAATCAATTATTGGGAATCAATAATCCTGTTGGAGTGTTGTATGGCATTGCTTTGTTATTAACCCAGAGTAAAAAATCTGACATCTTTTCATAGTAGAATGGATAGTCTTCCACCACCTAAGCTTTAGCATATATCTTTTCACAGTAATTCAAGAGACTAAGTGCTCATTATTTTTCCAAGCTAATTATTTCACTTTCAACATTCAATCAGTAGCAACAAAATTGACAAAATATTAAAATAACATACACGGAAAATGAAGAAAAAAAATTTACACATAAGTAGCCGCCAAATCGATGAATGCTTGCAAGGAATCCAAAATTTTCTCTCCGTCAGAAGATTGGATACACAACATTCTCATGATAAAATTTGACACATTTAAATATCAAATTATTGAGGCGAAGATCGAGAGACATACGTTGTTCATGGAAGTAGTAGTTGCCTTGGAGGCGACAGCCCAGGCGATCGAGTGCTTGACCCGTTTCGCGGATCCAGAATCCGACAGTGTAAAATGCTCTCCCAAGGGAACCCATCTCCTTCAATTCCTTCGCCTACTCCTTCAATTCCAGAACGGATTCAAAGATTGGCGATTAAAGATGATATAGATATGGCTTCTCAAAGTGTAAGAGCCTTCAGCTCGCTTCCGGGGCAGAATGGAGTGTGGAGACCATAACAAAGAAGCGAAAATGAAGGGAGCTGAAACGAGTTACTACTCATGTAGCGGTCGGTACTGGACTAGTGAGTCAACTCGCTCGTAATGGCCCAGTTTTTTACAGTTTGACCCTACTAGGTGCGTAAACTGTCAGGCTTAGCCCAAATAGTCAATTTTAATTTTTTAATTTATTTATTTTTTTAAAATATATTATTAAAAATTATTTTAAAAAATCAAATCACCATTCACGTAAGCAGACAAACCTGATGAAATGAATAGTAACATACTATCAAGTGAAATTGCATACATTTGGAATATTCAGTAACCTAATTGCACTTTTTTATTTTTTTCGTTCAGTGGCTTCAGTGAGCAATTTAAACTTTATTCCTATTTTATTTGATTTCAGTTTAACGCCCAAACTCGACATTCGAGTCTGTCCATAAACTGGTTTAATTAAGAGTTGAAACATTTGATATAAACAACATTCTTTTTGCCGAACATATTAAACGGCTTGTTGTACCATTAGAACAATTATATTACTAAATCTACCCACCATCTTTAAAACCTGCAAATTAACTTGTAACTTTCAGCGGCACTGCTCGATTATAATAAGCTTTTGTAGCAAAAAGCACTTAAAATAGTACACTTCATAAACATCATGAAGATGTCTAAAATGGATTAAAATGTAAGATTATAAGTTCAGACAAGATTGTCATAGAAGCAAAGAGCCCTAAGCTTCGAAGGTCCAGAGTTATTTGTTTAGTGAACATGCACTGAAACTTGATAATGGTGGAGTGATTCACTGCCTCAAGCTCTCCACAATATAAGAAGCGTAAAGATCCCTGAGATCACAAAATGGAATAAAAAGTCACTACTGAATTTTCCTGGGGACGGGGTTAGGGGGATTCAACTTACATGGAGTACTTGATAGCATCAACAGCCGATTCTGCAGGCAAGAAATCTTCCACTGCCACTGATTTGTTTTCATTCTTTTTGTCTATTCATTGATAGTAAAGGATTTCCAAGAATGAATGGGGATTGAAGAAAGCAGATAAGTGGATAACTATGTAGATATGACATGAGGCTTTCGCTCACTCCCTTAATCATCAGTAAAATGCATACTAAAATTCATCCATTTGCATAGATGGGGATGAAATACTCAGCTGAGGTGCAAATAAAAATATCAAGGATTAGCACATTGTGGATACAGTCCTCAAAAAAGCGGCGGATCTCAGCCAGGCGGTGTGGAGGAAGTTCCTTGATGTCATTGTAATGGCGAAACTCAGGATCATCAGCGCACACAGCTATTATCTTGTCATCCCTTTCACCCTGTAACAGGATCCTCTTTCACAATTAGCAATGAATCAAAGATATTATAAAATGTCCAACTTTCATGTTTAGCAGAAACAATATAATAGAATAAACAACTACTAACTTCACAGAGCAAAAGAAAACAGCTTGTTACAAGTCAACATTAAAGATGAGTGCAAATTAGAGCATTTTAGATCATTCATTAGTATGCTTGTAGTATTGCCTAGCTGCATGCTCCATTATAAATATTGTTCAATGAGATAATGATGTCCTTTTGTAGAGCACAATGAAATGCACTTACTTGATCAATCATAGGCATCAATCCAATTGCACGAGCACGAAGAAATGTACCAGGCAGCACAGGTTCCTAGTAGAGAGAAAGGGCCAGATTAGAAGGTGATTTATTGATCATTTCAAATACAGCCAGTTAGAAGTATGTCGATTGATTGATCGTTTCAAAAGCCAAATTGTTTGTGTGTTTGTCTAGTTAAAATAAAATAAAAATAAAAATAAGGTAACCTGCATTAGTATCAGGACATCCATAGGGTCACTATCTTCGCAGATGGTCCTTGGAATGAAACCATAGTTATGTGGATAAACAACAGATGAGTAGAGAATTCGATCAACCTAATCATATAAAATTCATACAAATTTAGTCACTCACTGGAGACAATATCACAATACTAATAAACAGGCTGAATAACTAATGAAACACAATCTAATGTTACCAAATGAAACAAGCAAACTGGTGAATCACAATTCACAAATCACAAATTAGTTTCCCATCAGACAAGTCTTTAAATGAACATCTAATTAAGAATATGAGCATGCTAATGTAAATTTAATTCATCTTGATTTTGTCATCATCCTACATCTGTACACTGTGTTGTATATCTATAACCTGGGTATTGTTCTTTGCACCCTACACATTTAATGATTTCTAATAATCATTTTGAGCTTACTCAACTAAGCAACAGTATGCAAATGGTTTCTAGCTTGTACTATATTAAAGACAGAATATATGTACATACATTTATCACAGTTAAATGACTCCTACACTTGGGACATTTATTGAACCCATACAAGTGAAAAGCATAAAGTAAACCTTTACCAAATAGAACAACTCTAGGTTATGGCAGAGACACATTGAAGATCTAAAGAAAAATAAAATAAAGAAAACTTATAGGCAAAATTCGCACTTTTATAAGGCCACTTGCTTTGTCAAGCTCATACTTGACTTTGCTGCCTTTTCCAATCTCAACCACCTGCCACAGAAAATAAATTAGTTAAGGTCATTTATTTACAACACTATAATGACCTTCTACATCTGAGAAAGGCAGCAAAAAGCCTAAATCCCTGAGTGAAACAAGCACAAATACAACAGGCAAATACATGTAGGAGTAAGCAGACCCCTGTAAGCTGTATACCATTTCTTTGTCTTGCGCAACTACCAGAAAATTGAATAAACATTGACAAGTACTTCAAAAGAGATTTTTTGAATTGTAAGTATATATACACCGAACATAAAAAAATCCAGATTATCTAATCATGTATAACCACAATAACAGGTTCAACATCTTATTAAGTACAGAGTATACAAAAACTAGAAGGTACATTTTGCATCAATACTTACACAGTTGAATACTGCTGGCGCACCTGGCCCTGCATGCATCATGTAATAGAGCACATAAGTACAACCAATAATTAGACAAATTAGTTCTGAAATTTTATACACAAAAACACTGAGATGATATACACCAGACTATCACCAAAAAATGCATTTCTAGAATAATCATACAGCTAAGGAGTTCATCATGTACTCTAGTCAAAAGAACCTGACACTTGAAAGAAATCCATTGCAACTATTACCTATCTCTAAGTCATGCCATGGGTGAGCAGCAACAGCTCTTCGCGACATAGAGGAGAGAATCCTCTGATTGAGGACAGCACGGGAGCTTAACGAGTTTCTTCCTCCCCCTTGGGTGTGGCCTTCAGCCATTGTTATCTTAACAGGAAAAAACAAAAAAACAGGGCAACAGAAATATAAGGAATTAGAGGGATCAGCAGCATCAGTATACAAACAAGTGTACAACAAGAATGGCCATATGATCAACACTTATAAGGATGGCAGTATCATCATCGTATGCTAGCATTTCACATTTTCACTAAACTAATGGTAAACATTTACGCATCATACTGTTTACTTTGCCAGGCTTGTCTTCCACAAATCACTATTCATGATACTATTGATAATTATATACAACAGAAACAACAGAAGATCAATTTTCTACAATTAAGAAAATAAAAATTTCAGACTGATTCAAGTATAAAACTCCGAAATCTGGAATCAGAAAAAATAAATAAAATAAAAGGTAAGAATCAACACATCCAAGTAGCAACTAACCGCCAATCTAAAGTCTAAAAAAATAAATATAAATCAATACAAACACAAAAACAAAAATCTAAAAAGGGCTTTCTAAAATAATGACTACATAAAATACTGTAGCGGACAGTATGAACAGCCATGAAGTCGCGATTTCTGCAAAGATACTTGAATAAAGCAAAGAGAGATAGGATATTGGAGAAGGAGAAGAAGGTTTACTGTTGCGATTGGCGTTATGAGGTGGTGGTGAGAGCTCTCTCTTCCCGGCTGCAAACGATGACGAACTAATAAATATTGTCGCGTTTCTGGAATATATACTCCGCATTTCAGGACTAGTGGTCCACTCGTCAGACTAAAGTCAGTGAGAGTCGTTGGATTGAGTTGCTTTCATCAATCATCATTGGCCAATTCACACTGTCGCAATACAATTTGTTCCAATTTAGTTGGCCACGGACGTTATTACATGCAAATTTCAATATATTTTGACATTGTTACATTTTGGGGTGTTTGATAAATAGATATTAGCTGATTGAATTAGTAGGTTTGACTAGTTGAAAGTATTAGTAAAGATAGTTGGTAAATTAGTTGTTAGTTTATACCCCTCTGTCTCATTTTATATGTCCTATTTACTATTTATTGGGTCAAAATAACTCTTTCTTCTTTGTTTATTTTCTTTGGTATTTTTTACTTATTTTTAAATTTGATATTTTGTGTTTAATAGTACTTTTAGTGTAGTTTCTAAATATATAAATTTTGTATACAAATACTAAACTTAATATTATGAAAAATTAGATTAAAAATAACTTCAGCCTCGTTAACCGAACCAAGACACACAAAATGGGATGGAGGTAGTAGCTTATTACATGCAACATGACTTTATTAAAAGCTGTTTGAATTTTAGCGTTTTGAATCAATAAACAATTACAAAAACACTAATTAATCAAACATTTATATAGTTATATTGATTGTTTAACCAAGTCAAAGAGCTAATAGTGATTAAATAAGTCAAAATAAGAGTCTAGAAGGTAATACAGAGAAAAATCTCATTTCTTGTAAGGACCCAATATAATCTTGAATTTTTTTTTAAATTTTTTTGGTCAGACCATAAGGTGCCCTGAGCAACCGAACTCCCAATCTCGATGAGAGTACACAACCATTCACGCCAATTAAACTGATTTATATGATATTCCTTTTAATATAACTTTGAGTCTTCTCTCAATATTTCTCTCTTTCGCCTGCTGCGTAAAATAATTTTGTGTAAGCGTCTCACCTTGTAATTCACCTCACCTCACCTCACCTCACCCTTTAATCTTCAAAGAAAGACTCCTTTATAGCAAATTGTTACCCCTACTTGATGTTAGATCAACCAATCAAAAGCTTTTCTCAACTTGCAAATAACAGCTCAAAGAACAACCAACCAAAAGCTTTTCTTGATAATCAAGCTAAAGAATATAGTTATATACAATTCAATTACAGCGAGCGAACCTCATGAACGTACATCTAAGCAACGCAGTGGCTGTATAGAACTGAACCTCCTTGTTGTAGAGAAGGAGAAGAAGCTAAGGCTTGAGAGTTGACAACCAATCCAGCAGTGCCTTATTCACCAGTTCTGGAACTTCATCGTGTGGACAGTGCCCCGCCTGCAGGTTAACCAGCAAAGTATTTGGGTAAAACTCCTTGATTCGGTTGGCCTTCGCAGGACCCACCCAAGGGTCCAAATCGCCCCACAGCAACAGCAACGGGCAAGACAGCTCGCTCAGGACTGCATCCAGAGTGTACTTTCTCTGGTTCGACATGAACCGTGTCATTAGCCTGCATTTACACAACAACATTATACACTTTTATGCATAAATATGAAGACACAATTGGTGGCTAGGGGAGTTGCAGAAGCCTGAAGTGCCAAGTCCAGTACCCTGTTTCTCGAAAATGTGTCAGTATAAGGAAATAAAGTTGCGTCTTAGCGAGCTATAACTTTTGGCGTGTAGTAGTTAACACTTATCCTAACAAATGGTATTTGAGTTTAGTTGTGTCTTCACTATGAGCTATAACTTTTAGCGTAGTAGTATCAGAGCTAGGTCACGGGTCTAAGCAATTCTATCATAACAAAATTTTTACACATAACTGTCATCTACTCATTATGGTACCTGTAATACACCTCTCCTGCATTAGGGTCAGCTGCAGGTCTAGTTATTGAATCGATAAGATAATTGTCTACATTTGAAGAATTTATGTAGACCTGCAATTATAACAAACGTGTAAGTAAATTTAGCGTTTCGGTAGTAGGAATGATGCATTAAACAATTGGAAAGGGATCCATACACTCTTCAGAACGGATTCGATTCGAGCTGGCTGTTTGGCTTGCCAAAACAAAAACCCAAGAACAATACGTTGAAAGATTTCCTTCAATGGCTTTAGGATGAGCTTCTGTAAGGCTGTGTCTTCTTGCTCAGTCGTTGCAGAACTTGCGTCCCCAAATTGTCCTGCACTATTTAACAAGACAACTCCTTTCACTTTTTCTGGCAATGTTGTTGCTGCTACCAAAGTTGTAAACCCTCCGAGGCTGTCAAAGCATGCATACAGGCGAAATTAGTCATTTCACGGCCACTGGCCATCACAAACCAAAAGGAACGAAGAGAACTCGTTAATTTTACGGGAAATCTCAGATATTTAGCACAAAGTTACCTGTTTCCAACTAAAACTGCTGGTTCTTTGACTATCTCCTTCAAGAAATCCACAACCTGATCTCTCCAGATCAAGGCATCATACTCAACGAGTGCCTTCTCACTCCATCCAAACCCAAGCAAATCCAGAGCGTAAACCTTGTATTTTTTAGCCAATTCTGGTATATTATACCTGAATGATAGAAAGAAAAATGTTTCTGAAAAAAATTCAATAAATGCAGTCTTACACACAGTGCAGAATCTGGGGATGGCTATGAACCTCATATTGGCTGGTCAAAAGATAACCATGTATGCATTTATATTTTCCCAAATCCCAACCCATAAGAAGAACAACTTTTTTTCTTTTTTCTTTTTTTCCAAAACAAGGCTTAATGGCCTGATAGTAGGATTGCAATGGATGGAATTATTGTCTTGAAGAATGCAAGCACAAATATAAATCAATTGGATACTATTAAGACTGCAAAATACAAGATCCCAAGAACCACAATTCAAGGTACAAGCAATCATAATGAAGACACATTTGGATTGCTATTATGCAACCCCAACCAAGTTGGTCAGGCTTTTGGCCTTGTAACCATAAGGTTATAAGTTCGACTCAGAGGGTAAGAAGCCTATTGGCCTTCTTGGTTTGAGACAGTCAGCTATGGGCAACAAGCCTATTGGCGTTCTTGGTTTGAGCCAGTCAGCTATGGGCAACCTGACTAAGTGCACACTCTCGGGGAGTGGCTGTGGTTTCCCACTTCTTTCCCTCATCACTCAAAAAAAGAGTATCAAAACCAACTAAGAGAGGTCTAAGAGTAGGAATACAATGCATTTGTCTGAAAGGTGAACTAGAATCTTAATTCATAAGCACCAATAACATGTGTTGAAACCAAAAAAATACCTCCAGTGAAAAGCAGAAGCACCAAAGCCATGAACTAGAACAATTGGAATCCCCTCTCCTTCCACCACATAATGAATTCTGTGGCCTTTCCATGTCCAGAAGTTGTACCCCTCTGGCTTAAATGGCAACCTTTCCAACCCTACTAAAGCAATTTCAAGTTACAAATCTCAAACTCACTGACAAAAGCTCTACCAGTTGGCAATACAATCTTGAAACTACAACACTCCACTCAGATCAGAGAGGCATTAAAATCAAAATGAGTACTTGATTACTAGACTGACCTTGAGAGGGCTGTGCAGCTTCAGAAGGGGCTATAACTGAAGCTCCAGCAGCAAAAATCCCTTTAAAAACAAAACCCCTTCTACTCAATTCGCACTTGCCTCCTTCAAACATTCAACAGATACCAAGAATACGAATTTAATTAAGACTAGAGATTTTCAAGATTGAAACAAAATGGGGTTGAAAGCTTACTCTGGTTGATTCTCGCAGGAGCAATTAGGCTGTTCCTATTCGGGTTGAACCAATCTGTTCTAAGCGTGCCTGGCACTATGGCGCACGAAGGCGACATGGATTCTAAATTCTAATTCCACTGCAAATGCTCTGGAAGTCGAATACTGGGCTTTCTTGAATTCGGTAAGACCTGATGGTAGAATTTATTATATGTAGCTGAGAGGAGGAAATGGAGATTTTTTCGTTGATTGGCATTATGGACATGGATTTGTTTCGTGTTAGTGTTTCTGTGGTTGATAATGGTTTTGAGATGGTGGCAACTGTGAAGCCAAGTAACGGTTAACTTACTAGGAAGTTTTTCGAGTATGGAAATATTGGTGAAGATGGAATGTATAACTATGGTCTATGGATTTGGAAACTTAGAAAAATATTTTAATTTTGAAAAAAGTGTCAAATATACTATTAAAATAATGCTCAAATAGGCTATCAAATTGCACAAGATAGCGCATTTAGGTCACTGAATCTAAAAAATTAACAATTGAGTCTATTAATTAACCAATTTCAAACAATTCTTTCAAATTGAAGGTTTCCAACAGGTCAACCGATCATCCTTCCAAATTAATTATTTTTAAAAAATAAATTTTAAAAGTTATTTATTTAATTAAAAAAAAAAAAACAGGTTTCCGGCCGGAGACGAAGAAACCTTCTTCGTCCTCGGCCGGTTTCTTCGTCTCCGGCCATAGAGACGAAGAGTTTCTTCTTCTCTATGGCTGGACTCTTCGTCTCCACGGCCGGAGATGAAGAGTTTCTTCATCTCCGGCCGTGGAGACGAAGACCAGTCATCATGGTTGAAAAAATCACTAGGCGTCAATCGGGCGCTCGGAGAGCGCCTAGCGCCTAGGCGGGGATTAATTGGCTCCTAGGCGCCAATGTATTTTTTATTTTATTTTTTAGGGAAAATGACACTTTTTCCCCTTAAGTTATATACTTATAGCATTTTTTCCCCCTCAATTATTTATGTAAGCACATTAGCCACTCAATTATTTTAAAAGTGATGGTTTTTCCCCCCTGATATATTAAATTGACATTTCTACCCTTAAAGTAAACATTTTATTTATTTTACTTTTCCAACAAATTATTGTGTATATGTAGCAATGACCACGGTTCGGTTCGAACTAAACCAGACACTATAGCAATCGAATTAAAACTTTTCGGTTATGATTCAGATCTAGAACCCAATATTTGAATTTCAATTTATTAAATTTATGAACTAAAAAAACTGGATCATGAACCGTGAACCGGCGGTTCTGGATCCGGTTCGCGATTTTGAACCGTCTTTATTTTAAAATTTTATTTTAAAATAGTCTAAATTCAACAATAAATGTATTTTATTTTTTCAGTTCGGAACATGAACCGGCCATTCCGGTTTGCGATTTTAATAAACTCTAAATATCACGTTTTGATTCTAAATTGTAATTGGAATATTTTGGTTTGGTTGCTATAATATCTGTTTGGTTTGAACTAAATTATAGTAATAATTTGTTGGAGAAGAAAAATAAATGAAATATTAATTTTAAGGGTAAATATGTCCATTTAACATTTTAGGGGGAAAAGGGCCACTTAAATAATTCAGGGGGGAAAATGCTATAAGTATATAACTTAGGGGGGGGGGGGGGGAAGTGTTATTTTTCCTATTTTTTATTTTTTTAAAAATTGTTTAAAATTTTAAAATTTATTAAGACTTGATAATTATAAACTATTTAATACTTTAATAGCTAATACTAAAATATTAAATATTAACTTAAAAAACATCTAGGGGGCGTTTGGTTCAGGTTATATAACATAACCAAGGGAATGTGACATTCCAAAGCTCACATTCCGGTGTTTGGTTCATATTATCTTAGGGAATCTAACATTCCCAAGGAATGTCACATTCCCTCCACATAGGATTTTGAAGGGAATGTGATTCCCTTCAAAATCTTAGGTAATGTAAGATAACCAAAGTTATGTTAGTTTATTATATATACTAGTTTTTTACGCGCATTGCGCGATTGAGACAATGCCCAATGTTTTTCTTAAATAAGTATTTTAAAGTATATCAAGGCAAGATTATATTGGAATTGTTCATGTATAGATAATTGAATATATTTGTGTATTTAAATTGGTAATTCTAAGTTTACAAATGTAAGATAATATAGTCAAGATTGATTATAATTGTCAACAAAATAATTGTATGGGTATGGTTGAAACCAAATACAGGACATAAGGAATAGCAAATAAAAATTAAAGCATAAAATATTAAATATATTCTAATATTGTTTGAGGAGATTCCGGCAGTAGGATTTGTGGTTAGAGTTCTATTAAGATTTTAATATTAGAATTAGATTAATGTTGTAGTTATAATTCTATATTAGACTTTAATATTAGAATTAGACTAACGATACTTAATGGAAAAGTTAACAGATCGAATAATCATATAAGTAAGGATAAATTAGGAACTCAAGGAAAAATTAAAATCTGAACAATCTGAACTATTCATTTGATTTAATAATTTGACAGTCATTTTTCTACCCAATGTTTATAATTAAATAAATATTTGAAAGTATATAATGGAAGATTATATATGAGAAGTTCAACATAAGTAATTTAATGTCTAATTTGTTTATTTAAATATGTAATTCATAGTTTATGAATACAATATAATATAGGAGATCCATTATAATAGTTACTATTTTTTTTTTTTTAAATAGTAACCAAGTATTTTTGTTGCAAAGGGTTCTAAAATATTAAATGAATGCACATATATACAAGACCAGTCCTTTATGTGTTTTGCTCAGTATTCATTTAGTTCAACCATTATTGTTGAATAAATTATTATGGATAAAGAAATTCCTAATTTGAGGAATTTAGATGTAGTAAAAAATTTAAAAATTTAATTATAATGTAACCCAAAGATATTGGACGATTGGAAAATATGATGTAACCCAAAAATCAAAATGTTAAAGAAAGTGTTTTGGTTATTCAATAGTTGGAAGCAACAATTTGTTCCAAACCACTGAAAATACAAACATTGCAATTTACAATATTTTCACTTAACGTTTTTGAGAATTATTTTTCCAAAACACATCTGTATTTAAAAAAAAATTATTATTAAAACAATTATTATTATTATTATTATTGTTTATTGTTATTATTATTATTATTATTATTATTATTATTAGTAGTAGTAGTAGTAGTAGTATTATTATTATTATTATTATTATTATTATTATTATTATTATTATTATTATTATTATTATTATTATTATTATTATTATTATTATTATTATACCCTTAGGTCATTTTAAATGTTAATTTAAATAGTTAATTTTTTAAATATCTTTTTACCAACCGTTGATATAATTCGCTGGTCCAATCCGCTAATATAATCTGTTAACGCTAAGCGCTAACTGCTGATTGTCAAACAAGGACATTGCGAGGTAGTTTCTCACTTCAATTTGTTGTGTGATTCGAATATTTCCTTTGTCAACAAACCCTCAAGTAGTTAATATGATTGACTTTATTAATTAAACTTTTTAAAAATTTTTCATGGTATTAATAAAATACTTGGTAAATAAATATATATCATTATTTTGTATTATAACTTTGATATTTAATTTAAAAATAGTGCACAAAAAAAAATATAATAGACAATGTAGTGAATATAATCAATTGATGAATTTGAATGTAAAGAATTTTTACATTGGAGAATAATAAAGACAATATAACTAATGAAATTATTTCTCTTAGTTAATTTATTGATAATGAATAATTTTTTTTTTAATAAAGACATTGTAGGGACAATGTAGCGAATATAATCAATTGATGAATTTGAATTTTGAATGTAAAGAATTTTTATATTGGAGAAAAATAAAGACAATATAACTAATGAAATTATTTTTCTTATTTAATTTATTGATAATGAATAATTTTTTTTTTGAATAAAGGCATTGTAGACACATAATTCTAAATAGAATACTAATTATGCCAACTTTGATTGAGATGGGGTTCGAACCTAAGACCTTTTTTATTGAAATCAATGAGTAAGTTAATGGTGAATTAATCGAAACTAACGGAAAAGATAATATTTAACGGAAAAGTTAACGGATAATCATATTCATTAAGGATAAATTAGGAAATCTCAAGGAAAAATTAAAATCTGATCAATCTGAGCCATTCATTTGATTAAAAAATTTGACCGCCATTTTTTCTACCCATTATAGGCCTAACTCTCTTGGGCTCTTATTAGTATATATATATATATATATATATATATATATATATATATATATATAATGTTATGTTAGCATATAAAATAATTTTGTTTCTCAAGTTCAAGATTTTAGTTATTATTTTAAAATCATGTAATTATATATGATACAGTTATCTTATTTATTTATTTTAATTTTTAAATTTATTAAAATATATGAAAATATGTTAAGGATATTATAGTGTGTATAAAAGATAACTCTAAACCAAACATGATTATATTATATACCCCAATTTTAACCAAACACAGGAATCTAACATTCCCAGCAATCTAACATTCCCTAAGGTAATATGACATTCCCAGCAATCTAACATTCCCTAGAGTTTGACAAATTTAGGGTTATTTCACTCAAAACGATGTTGTTTTTGTGTGAAATAACTCATTTAAAAAAGAATGGAACAATAGTTAATTGGCTGACTAGGCGACCTAGTTGGTGCCTAGGTGGCCTAGTCGGTGCCTAGGCGGCCTAGTCGGCACCTAGGAGGCCTAGGCGGTCAGTGCCTAGGCGGCCTAGTCGGTCGCCTAGCCGGTCAGGCGCCTAGACCACCGATTATGGTGATACGCTAGGCGGCCGACCAGCGCCTAGCGCCTAGGTGCCGATTAATCGGTGCTTAGGCGGGATTTTTGCAACATTGCCAGCCATGGAGACTGATGGATAATATACTAGGCCTGGGCCACATGGACCGGTCTAAGAAAACAACTGGATCAAGAAAGCCCAAGAAAGATACACGATATGGAGCAACCCTAGAGTTTGTGAAGGATTGGCCTCGGTATTCCCGATATAATTAGAATTGGACTCATTATTTCTAGTATAATAGAATTAGGTTTTATTATGTAACTAAGACTCCCAATATGAGGCAGTCTAGAATTCTTATTCCTTGTAGGGCTCTAGGCCTAAAATATGTATAAACAGACCCCTCACCGCAAATTACGTTGTGCAACCGTGTGCACCATGTATAACCGTGTGCACCATGTATGGTGCACACGGTTGCAAAAACGGCGTCGTTTTGAGTAAAAACGCGCG